TAGTATTAGATTTGATACTCTTTATGGCAAAACGAAAATTAATAGATTTTGAATAAAATTTAATTTAATTTATAATTATTAATTAATTTATTTTGAAGTAGATGAGTTTGAGATTAGGACTTTTAAGATGGGTAAATGAAAAATGCCCATAAATGAAGGCTAGTAACATTGAAAGTATGTCAGACGGGAGACATTTCTTATGTTTACTTAGAAGATACTTTCCAGAAATCGAGGTTCCATAATTTAAAAAAAATATATCAATAGTTTCTCGTATAGAAACTCTTACATTAGTAGCTCGCTATTGTTCAAAACTAGACAATTCAATAAAGATTGATGTTTTGAAAATAGCAAACAAGGAGTCTCATATGATTCTAAATTTACTTAAGTTTATAAAATCAATTCTAGATAAAACTCCAATAAAAAAATAAAATATCAAGGAAGAAATCCCAACTATAATTAAAGGGTACAAACAAGAGTGCCAAAAGATAAATGAAGAGATTGTAATAATTCCAAATCCAAAAAAATAAACAGTTGATTAGGAAATATAAACTATGGCAATTTAAGAAGTGAAACCTTTACAAGTTTTATAAGAAAAAATAAAAAAAATTTTATAATCCAAATTGCAGAGCCCTCATTTAGAATTAGAAATACTCTAATTGTTAGAGAAAGATAAGGAGGTAGCTATTCTCTAACTAAATTATTAAATGAAAGCATCTAGAGCAAGTCTGAATCCATCAAAACTCACAGAGTTTATGTCCATTCATAGTAGTTAGTTTTATAATGGAGGGGAATAGAATTTACTTGAACCTGAATAATGTTTTTATCAGAATCAACCAAGCAAAAAGAACATAAATGATGATAGTTTATTTCAAGTTAGTGATGAAAAATAACATTATTGATTAATTTATGTATTTAATACTAAGTTTTCTAATATTTCATTTCATAAGGTCTGTAGGATAAGTAAAGATTATTGGTATATCCTTTCTTTTTATTAAAACTAATCAACTTTTATAAATTTGGAACTAAATTCACACAATTAGACTAAATCTTATTTTTATATTATAAATAACCAATCTTATCAGTCCAGATTGATGTAGATAAGGATAAGAATCTAATGAAGATAGATTCATCATTAAATCTAATATGAGAGGAAAGTGCAATTATGGTTTTATGTTTTAATTTACTTCAAATTGTTTCTGTTTATTACTTCATTTTAAAAATAAAGTCATTCTATATAATTAATAGTTAATCTTTAGAATTATTACTAATTAAAATATCATAAAAGTTGATAAAACAATTCAATACCTTGTCCTCCTTCCCAAACAAAGTAACCTCTTCTGAAATCTTTAATTAAATCTAATCTTTATACAAGAAAATCAGGACAAGGATATGAAATAGAAATGAGTTCATTTTTGTATCTACATTCAGAAGAGGATCTGTCCCATTCTGTAAGGTAATTGGATGCATTCAGTTTAAGAAGTTCATTACCTATGAAATGAGTCTTATCACGCTCAGTTTTTTTGAATCCATAAAAAGGAAGTCCCTATGAATATTAGAATTATATAATTACAAACAATAATTTCTCTTTGTAAATCATAAAGTGTTCTAAATTTGATTGAATCCATGAGTAAGGTGATAATATTTAATCCTCTTCATCTTAGATTTGATAATCATATGTTTATATTAATGTATAATCTGCTATTTTGAATAATTTTTTTAGAGTAGAATGTTTGTATTGTGAAGGATCATAGATGCCAAACAATGTTAACACTAGCATTTTATTATTCAGTCTCGCTTTTAATTTTTGAAGGAATATAACTATATCATATGCATCTAAAGCATCAATATAAGATAAATAGGGTGTGTCTATCATAATTCCATGGAATTTATCTTAATATTATTACACTAAATTGATGATTGATTCCAATAATTATGGATTATTGATTTGCTAAAGAATTGAGCTTTGTTATAATTCTATTTACACTCTAGGAATTATAGCAATTTAAGGATTGGCCTAAACTATTTCTTGCATCCACTATTCATTTACTGATTGTCTTCCATCAATAACATTATTATATCTAATATTAAACCACGCAGGACTAACCATATCAATTTTCTATGCATATTTTACAGTAAGTTTATATCCATCTTTATTCCTAATGCTACTATAATAAATTACCAAGGAGTGATAAAAAAGAAATTAGGAATTTAATAGTTTTTCGTTCCACTCTCTTACTTTCTAGCCTCTTATTCCTTTTCTTGAATTTCATCTAATTAAAACGGAACTGAATTCGTATATTAGATTATGTATATGTAATATAAAAGACTAGCCCCGATTATTCCAAAAAGTGCTATATTAAAAGTATTCATATTTAAAAAATATTTATTTTTGATCAATAATTTTATCAATCATTTAAAGTTTCTGTTAATAATAATGAAATAAATCTCAATACTTCATTGTTATGTTAATTTCAATATCAAGATTATTGAATCTATCCTTGTTATACATTCTTTTGATATTGAAATTCTCAATTCCTATTGATCAAAAGAGTTAGGAGCTATTTCCTTTGAAACTAATGCTTAATTATTTAGGATTATCAGTTAATTTAGTAGAAACTCATCCCTTTACTTTTTTGAATAATTCACTTAATTGTAAAATTAGTTATTCTTATATTGGTTAAAAACTAAAGCAATTAGAAATAGCATTAAAGATTTATTTAAATTTTATAATATTCTAATTATGTAACTAGTTTAATATTTTGCTAATGTTTCTAAAGATTTATTTCGAAAACAAAATTGAAATACTAACTAAATTTTGAGTTTAATAATGTAATCAAAAACAAAACAATTAATTTGCATAAAAATTTACTTTCTTATTCAAATACAATAAGATTGTTATCTCTCTCCAAATATTTATTATGATTTTGATGTATTTTTTTTGGTGAGTCATATGTTTTTTAAGAGATTAAATTTATTACTAACTCTAAACTAAATCGATTATCAAATTTTAATGAAGACTGCATTAGTATTGAGATTAAGTAATATTTTCATAAGTTAAAGAACTATTTGAAAATGTTGGTTTGGTTAGAATATATTTACTTAGGATAATTAAGAAGATTAATGATCTTTTTTTAATTTTTAACAATTTGATCATAACTATTATACAAACTAAGATTCTGCTTTAAACTTTAATGATATTTCAAATAGTATCATTAATTCAATTTAGAAATACTCATAAAATTTGAAATTCTTATTCAATGCTTTATTGTCTTTTCATTTCTTGAGTACTTAAATATTCTGAGATCCATTATAGTTGTGTAGTCTTTAGTAATTCATTTCTGAATTTCTTCATTTTCTGTTATGTATTTTATGTATAATAATCCCTCCATTGAATAATTAATATATATATATGTATTTGATTTTATACTGTAAGAATCATTTTTTACCTTTGTTGGCTTTAGCAGCACCTTTTTATGCTTTTTGTTAAGCTTTGACTTCAGCTTTTTGTGCTACTTTTTATGCTGCAGCGGGTTTCTTCTTTTGAGCTTCAATTTACTTTTGTTTTCTGTCTTTAATTTCTCTTGCAGCTTATTCAGCTTATGCCTTTCTAGTTTCTAGTGGTCATTAGATAAATGTATTACTGTCATCTTCCTTTCTTCTTCTTCTGATTTCTTCCAATGAAATACCAACAATAGCTCTTTAGACTTTAAGATTTCTGATTCTTCTTTTCTTAGCTCCTTCATCGGTCTTTATCTTTTTGTTTAATCTTCTCCAAGCAACAGTCCATTGGATTTCTTGAGATTTAATCTGTATATTATGAGATTGAATACTTTTCTTGCACTAAAAGCTCTACTCTTTTAATTCAAGTAATAGAAGAGTCTGCCATCCTTGGCAACGAATCTTCTTCCATGTCCAGGGTAGATTCTCCATTCACTAAAGGAGCACAAATCTGTCTTGATAACCATTATTTAAAAAATATTTAAATCTTAATTTTCATTCCATCACAGATATCCATCACTCCTCTTATGCTTGTTTTTTGGTTTTCAATTTCCCTTGCAATTCATTAACCTCATCATCATCCTAAACCTATTTTGTACTTAACTTATCTAGTTCTTCTAAATTCTCTTCAATTTCTTACAATTTGTTGAGTTCAACCATTTCTTAGATTGATTTCTTTTCGTTGCCATCCTAAGAATTACTTTCATTCTATTCATTTAGTTTCTCAATAAGTTCATTCTACTTTAATAAGGCATTGAGATCCTCAATAAGATCTACCTCTTCAATTTCGTTATCTTACAATCCCATATAAGTCAAATATAACTCTTCTTTCTCCAACACATTAATAAATTCAAATAATGATTTGTCTGTAAGATGGTTATTCCATAAATGCAAAGTTCTTAAATACTTAAGATTCGGCCAAAGAATCTATGCTGCTGCATCTGAAAACCCAGTATTCCCTAAATTTAATTCTTCCAATATCTTGTTCTTTCTCAAACAGATGGCCATTTGTCTGATAGTTTGCAAATCCATTCCGATATCATTCAAATATAAAATTTTGATTGTTTTGTTCTTCTTTAAAGCCTAAAAGAATGGAATCAATGATTTAGAAGTCAAAGGATTATTTCCAAAATGTAACACAGTAAGATTAGTTAGGCAATTAGCGGCTAATAGAGTGGAAAAACATATCAATCCTATTTGTCAATCGTATATAAATACCGAAATCAGAAATATTATTACCTGGTACTTATAATTATTGCAAATTCTTCAATTCTGGAAGTGAATAACAAAGAGAAATAAATGTACTATCATCAATTGAACAGGCACTCATGCTTAATATTTTCAATTATTTGAAACTACTTGAAATTTCAATGAATCCTTGAACTCCTATCTTTTATGATAAATATCGCTTTACTTCACTAATTTAGTTATTGCCAATATAAATTTCCTTTAATTTATCATGCCATTATAATCCTGTTAACATATCAATAAATCCTCGATCTGTAATCGAATTGGCTGCAATGTGAAATAATGTTAATTCTATTTGGCATTCATGTAGATAGAGAGCGATCTAATTCAAATTATGAACAATACAGTCAAAGCATCGAGATCATCTAATTTCTTTGCACTTACATCTAAAAATTTACCACAGCTTTTCAATTCTTCCAACAACCAAATTTTTCTTTTTTCTACTTTCTCTTCAAATTCTTTCTTAAATTGTTCTTCATCTATCTCTTTTTCATTTTGATCCATTTTCAAATTAAATAATTATAAAACCTGTAAAATTATATTGAATTACAACTAATATATCCGATTAGTAGTTTCTTAAAAGTATACAATTAAAAAAAAATAAACAGAATAAAACCATTAAATAATATTACAAAAGTATATAATATTATAAGACATCCAGATTTCCAATTAGTTAATATTTCATCATAATGGTTTACTATTTATTTATTTAGAAGGTAGGTTGAATTTGAAGTGAAGAGAAGATATATTCAAACTATTAAGAGAATTGAGGATAATTTATAATCATACAAATTTTACAATATGACAAAAAATAATCTATTAATATAAGAAATTAAATATTAATAATAAAAATTTTGATTCAATATTGAAAATTTATTTCACACAAATAGCCATAGATGTCTAATGATGCATATAATTAATTATCTTGACAATAGTTATAGATTCTATTGAGAAATTGTCAATTATGAACTTATAATTTCAGATGCATTTATTGTATATCTAAAGACAAATTATTTAATTAATATACTATTATAACTGCACCTGCAGTGTAGCAGCTTGCTTAAGATATCCAATTTACCTTAAAGGAAATAAGTAAAATTGCCATGATAAAAATATATGATAAAATCAGAAAAACCGCTTTGTTAAATTAAATAATTAAAATAAAAAAATAAGTACAATTTATTAATTAATTAATAAATCCAAGAATATTGATTAAACTTTTGTCATCTCCAGTCATTTTAGAAACTGACACAAGTGAATAATTGATGAATTTTAGCTAGAATTTATTAAAAATTGGTATAGTATTTCAAAACATTATGATATATAAAATTTAGAGATTTGTTTATATTAAATTAATATTTATGAATTTAGAATTAATAAAATCATACTTTCTTTACCTCGACAAGTTTGCCTGTCCAGTCTAATTGTTTATTTAAAAAAAGAGAGGATATTAAACATATTTAGGTGCTTTCACAACTCTAGGATGCGTTCTATCAATTCTATTCTACCTGACGAATAAACTCAGTCAAATTGATGATAGAACTGAATTTTAAACTCTATATTCTGACATCTTTCATTTAGAGCCTCCATATTATAAGTTAACAGAAGATAACTTCACATTGTAGTTTGCTTTTCAATATTAGAACAAAACAAATTATATTAACGAAAGCATATACATACCTGAGGCTTATCTTGTATATAAATAAATAACAGAGTAATCTATATAGCATAATAATAAGGGTTAATGGCAAGAAGAAAGAACAAAGCAATAAAACACTGATTCCAATCTCAAAATGTTCAAAGAATGGAATAATCCAAGATGAGTTGGCAGAATAATTTGATGATCAAGACCTCTCTAACACTTATTGTCTAGATTGGAGTAAGGTTGACAGTTTGGCATTATTTGGGACTGACGATTCTCCAGAATATTAATATATCAATGTTAGTTTTACTGTTTGCTAGAATGGCTCAAGTAATTATTATATATATCTCAAAGAGCCTGGTATTGTTTGTGCAGATAGCGAGACAATTCAAAAGGTATTGAATAGAAATTATATTCACTTTTAATTGACATCATACATAATTAATTTGAGGGATTTCACCCAACCATAAATTCCAAAAGTAGAAGATATTTACACAACCATCTCAGCCAAAGTCACAAAAGATGTTGAAATATTCATGTAACCTATCACTACATTAACAGATTTTGGTTATTTCTAAAAGGAACTTCGTAAGGATACTACACTCAGGTATTTTTCTGATAAAGAAATTATTGATTTTAATACTGATACATCCTTGGCAAATGTTGTTATCCGTCTCTCTGACACTGAATAAGTAAGCTATAGAATCTATCCGAAAGTGTAAGATGTCTTAGCAGCAGCAGGAGGATTATGGCAAATCATTATTGCAGTAGCATTGTTTCTCTAAAAACCTTTTAGTGAATTAGCTTATAGCATTGAGATCATCAACAAACTTTTTAATTTTGAATAAGATGAATCTGAAAAGCAAAAAAAGAATCCTACAACTAGTGATGAAATCAATGATCAGAAACCTTCTAGAACACTCTTACCAACCTAAACAGAAATAAAAACTACTTAACCAACAGGACCTGATTAAAAACCATAATCTAAAATCAAACAAGTTGTTTCTAAACGATTCCCCTAGGGTCGATAATAAACCATTATCGGTAACAAATCTGGTGGTTTCATAGAACGATTAACTTAAAATGAAAAAATTAATGAAGCACGGTCTCTGTTCACTCTTGTATCATCTAACATAAAAATGAAATTAAAAGAATATGCTCAGTATCTTACTTATAGACCAAAAAAGAAGAAGATGGATTAGTTGGATTATTCTATTAAGAAATACGAATCGTTTCTGGATATACTCTTCATAATAGACAAATTGCAAGAGATTGATAAACTCAAATTAATTTTGTTCAACAAAGCCTAAATGAATCTGTTTGAATATCTACCAAAACCAACAATTTATTTAGATCCCTATAGTCCAGAATAAGAAGAATTATAATTTCATTCCTCAATTCTTTCTCCACAAAAATCATTTGAGGAGAAAGCAAAGCAAGCATCAGTTGCCTTTGAAGAACTTCTGGTAGATTTTGAAAATAATCCTCTCACACAAAAATTAATAGCTTGTCTGGACAAAGAAGTTGTGAATGTCCTTATATCTGAATATGAGGAAAGAAATAGACCTAGCAGAGCTAGATAACAATTTCTCTCAATTAGCAATGCAGTTGTAGCCAAAATTAAATAGGATTAATAGTAAAGACAGTTTTAATATGAACAATTGACGAAGTAGACTGAATAAAAGAAGTTTCTTGATGGGACTGTTTAGAATAGTGCAATAAAAGATAAATCAGATAATCGGGAAGGATCTTAAGATTCGATTCACTTTAAATCTCAGAAGGAATAATGAATATCATCAAAATATATTTATTTTAATTCATGATTCAATAGCATCTGGAGTGATGTATTTAGTTACTGATCTCTTTTTCAGATCCAATTAAATTTATAGAAGCTTAAAGATATTAGGATCCATTAAAGAAATAAGTTTGATAGTGATTGGATCATCCAAATTTTCAAGCAATTCATCTAAAACTTATTATGCTTCGTGAGCCTTTTCTTTCTAAGATTTGTAGGGTTTCAACAAAGAAGAATACATAACCGTTTCATTCTATTACAAATTGCTAGGATCTAAAGAAATCATTGGTTTTGGTAAGAAGTCAAAGAGTTGTACCTATTACTTTGTCAATAAAATGGTTTTGAGTTTATCAATCTCCTATAATTTATCTATAATAAAGAGAATATCTAAGCACTTCTCCAATTTGTTTATCGAGTATTGCATTTACTTAAATTTTCCTTCCTTTTTTCTATGAAATCAAAATATAAAATTACCCACACTTTAAATATTTGATATAATCAAATGCACTCAGTCTTAATTTTAGAGTGGCTATGTTAAATAATTTCCTTAAAGCAAACCTAATGCCCTTTTATATTAGTTTGTCATTTTCAGGTGAATTTGTAACCATTTAAGAAGATTTTTCAGTCTAAGCAGAATTGACTTATTCCATTTTTTAATTTTTGTTTTTGGTTCTACCTTTAGGGAACCTTATGGAACTCTTAATCTTTGATTAATTTAATATAATCGAAGTGTCATTTTCATGAGTCTAAATATTCTCTTATACCATAGTCAACTTCTTAAGTATTTATTTGCCTCCATCCTCAATATCATTTTACTATTTTTATCCTTCAAAATTAAACAGATTATTAATGACATCTAATTTATAAGACAAAGATTAGATAGGTTTCACCATTATAGTAAAAACGAGCATTAAAATTTCCCATAGACCACCTGCTTAGGCTAAAATGTCCTAGAGCTTAGGATAAATTCTATAACTGATATTCTCAGTGTTTGCCAATCTAATCAAAACTGAAGCAAGAGCTTCATCGCTATTAAAATCTATCACCTCTTAGGTTTTCAAATATCTAATTGTCGAATCCTTCCTCACCAATCCATTCAACAATCCTTCCTCAGTCAAAGTTGTTATTGGCTGCATGAATAAAGTAATATCCTTCATAACTTGACTTGAAATTGTGGTTTAAATTTCCTCGACTTTCGGAACATTTGGCTTTAAGTAATTTCTTAAATCAATATTATATGAAGACAATTGGAATAAAATATAATTACGATGTAGTTTTTCTTAAATTTCTTCTTTCGACTTACAAACTTGGCTATTGACTAAATAGTAATTAAAAATTACGATTGCTAGTGTCATTCACACATGTTTCAAAGCTTATATATATGTATGTATAATTTTCTTATTCTGGTGTTCCAATCAAACTAAGACCTTTGATATTGTTCCAATCTAGACAATATGTATTTTCTATATCCACATTATCAAGTTGGTCTTCTATTTCTTCATAAGGTATTCCAATTTTAGCACATTTTGATAATGGTATTTCCGTTTTAGTAAATTTCAAATTTGTTTTATTATCGACCCTTCATAATAAAAGAACTTACATAACTTATGCCCTATTAACCATTACTGCTTTGACTTGGTAGATAGACTCGTCAATGTAATTTGTTTAATTTTCAGTTTAAAATGCAAATTATAAAGTGAAATTCTTGGATAATAATGGGAATACCGGGATTTCCTCATAGTATACCTCTGAATATAGTGTTTGAAACTCTTTTCTTTGTCCTAATTACACAAATTTGTTTATAATGTAGGTTAAAACGCAAGAAAACATTAATAAAGTCATGAAAGCTCCAAACAGAGATTGATGTGATCTCTTTTTATGAATCATCAACTCTACTGGAGAAGAGAAAAAATCTAACTTTTTACCTAAGTTTCCCAGCTTTTTCATTTTATTGGAATTCATATCAGCAATTTTAAATAAATTAATTTATCTAGTACATAAATTGATTACTTTTTCCATTTTATAAATTTAGATACGTTTCTTCATAATTATGATTATAATAATAATTCAAAATCATTTTTACTGTTAAAATCATCAAGATTTGTTTTTTTAGCAGGAAAGAGTGGATCAATAATGAACCTCAAAAAATCTCAATTATTTACCTAAACAAATTGTCTAATAAGCCTGAAATTATTTTAGCTAATACTGGACAGCCTGTTTCGATACATGGATTTGTATTAAATTCAATGAGGATTGGTTTAAATTCATTTGTAATCATGAAATCTAAACCATATAATTCAAACCCAATCACTTGATCAGTATTATTTATTTAATTAATACTCGAAGCACATGCTATTTTGGTTAATTACTAATTATGCGATTACGTAATAATTTACTTTCATGTTTTTATAAAGCTCTTCGAAACTGTAATTTGTATTGTTTTATTTATTCTATTCGAGTAAGTAGTTCTAGAATTGTTCATACGAGACCTTGTTGCCTATGAAATTTAGGGAAAGTCAAATACCTTTTTCAAATTTGCCATATCCATTCATTTTATTTTGAATTGCATCATTCGTAAGATGAATTTTCTGATTATCCAGCGAATCTAAACTAAATAAACTACTTGACGTACGGAGGTATCCCTTTTTATACCAAAATACTATCTACTTATTAAAATGATCACTACCTTTTTTAGCACCATTTAATATTGTAATGAGACAGTACCCTCTTATATCAAATTTCCTCTTTTAATATAGAAATGGATTCTCAATATATTTTTATAGAATGAATGTATGATTTTATTAGGAAATGTGTTGATAGATTTCATTCAAATTATTACATACTATGAAAATAACAATAAAAATACCTTTAATGCCTTAACCTCGATTGCTATCTTCTCCAGGTTTGATAATCCATATATTTTTAAATGCAGAATCAATAGAGAACTCTTCAAATTTTTTCTTGAAAACATGAAAGGATTCATCATTCGGACCTTATATATGATAAGTCAAAGGAATTAGGGTCCACAAATCTATTTAGTTTTCTTTACAATGTTTGCTTAAATTCAGAAACAAAAATTTCTTATCTCCTAATTAATTTCCTTCCTTAAGGTGATTATGAATCCTGATAGATTAATTTTAATGATTAATTGTTAGTAGCTCCTTAACATTACCTAACTAAAAAATTAAAGTTATTTACTTACATTATTGAGTATTGCTTGGCTTTCAAGATTGTAATCTGCTAATTTCTTCTTAGACTTTCCTTCCACACGATCCCAAGCTTATCTAATTAAAGTTTAATCATTAGAATCAACCCATCCTTCAAGAGTTTCATTAGAAATTGATCTTTAAATTGGCCTAATCTCAGATTAGGGAAAGTCAACAAATTTTTGAGTCCAAATAAAATTAAAATCATCTTCTTCTAAATTACCACCTACAGTCCACTATGCTCTCATACTGAATATACTTTTGACCATCATATGATTATTGCCTCGACCGACAAAAAGTTTATAATATTTTTAATGTTATGCTGGTAAAACTTAAATTGCATTTGTAAAATTTATAATTTGATTAATTTCCAATACACTAGGGCATTGTATAAATTTTAGATAACCAATATCCCAATATCTAGTATCATCTATTAACACTTTTTTTTTTGTCTAAGATTATGGAGCTAAAGCCTTTTTAATAGGGGAAGTAGTCCGTTCTAATTTGACTATTGGTATTAATCTCTTCAACGGTTTTGGAGTAGTCTCCTTTGGCAGTGGTTAGACTTAAACTTATTTTACTTGGATTAATTGTCCCTTTATACTGTCCAATTCATTGTCTTTTTAGGCAACTGATTGACAACGTTACGATCTTTTTTATATATTCTTTCTATGTATAGTTTTAGGAAACACAATAATTTCATTATTAGTTTTTCCAATAAGCTGTTCAATTAAGGACTGATTTCTTGCCTTTCTATTATGCAACTCGTATATTTAAGATAGAAATTCATAACTTGTGATATCCTTGCTTTTTCTTATGAAAGGAGGAAATTGAGGGTCAAGTGATTTTACAATACTATGATTTGGAGTCTCCAATTATTATTCCTATTCAGTAATTACAGGTTTTTATTTTTTATCTATTTATTAGAAGCTACCATTCCTCCTCATCTATGATAAAAATTGTCTGACTCCTGCCTCTGTGCTATTCAGAGCTATTGACATATACCCTTGCCAAATTTGTACATTGTTATCTTGTTTTCTTTTTTATGGTGAGAAATATTCCTTAACATTATCGTCATCCTTACTTAAAATACGATTGCGCATAAAATTAATAATTTATTATAAGTATATAGTTAATCAGAATAGGCATTAACAAAGTTAGCTAAGCTTCTTTTAATCATTATAGACAAATACTAGACCAGTTGTCCTTGATACTTCTAATCTTTAATTCGTTACTTTTCTTTTTCAACTTTATTTTCTACATCATGGTCGTTCAGACACACATCAGGATATCTACTTTTTGTTGGTTTTTGACTAAAATTCTCTATGCAATTTCATTATATAACTCTTAAACTCTTTCATTTCGCTCAGTTCTTGGTATCCAATTTATTTGCAACTTTTGCATATTTATTCTATAAATAATTTAGATTCTTCTGGAATTGCCAATTAATAGCTAATAATGTAATTAGTTGTATTTTTTAATGACATCTGTAAAAATTACTACAGAGCAATTTATTTTTTTTTAGTTTTCAAATTTTTTTTGTTTGAATTTAAGAATTAACACATAATCGTTCATTTGTTACTAATAATTATTAATTTTATTTATAAATTTTATTATATTCTCCTTAAAGAATACGGTTTGATGTAACTTATGAATCAAATTTCTTTTTTATAACTTTCTAATGCATTGCATTTTTAAGTCCAAAAACAAGTATTCACTCTTCTTGTTTCAGTTTTAGATTAGCCAATATTAGTAAAAGAAGAACCTCTCTATCGCTAAATCCTTCTCGTACTCATTGATCAAGCCTTATTTAACCTTTCTGAATGTCACCTAATTTCTTAAAGTTTTTCGAAATTTCATTAATTCAAACATATTAAGGGAATTTTCAGTTTTAAAGGATTTTCTTTTGGCTTCGCAGTCCTGGATATAGTAATTATGTTTTAGGAGTTCGTTTTTTTAATGTTCAATTTTATTATGCAATTTAAAAGAGATTTCACTTAATTATAATAGATCCTTACACTTTATAGCCACTCAATCATTCAGAATTATAATGTTCTTTTCTTATGTTAAAAAGTATATTCTTTATCAAGAATAATAAGACTTTGTTTAAGATTTTCTCCTCTTGCTCATGAAACAAATCTTATTAGAATGCTTCTAAATGTTAGCATATTTAGAGATTAAGAAAGGCTTAGGTCTAAAAATAATTGAGTTGTTGTTTCATTTCTATAGTTTGCTAATTTAATTATGAAATTCAAAGAAAAATAATCCGCTCAGTTAGTAAGCTCTGTACTTTTGAAATGTCAATAACAGGAGCTCATTCCTAATATGAGTGATCGATTTTGAATTAATAAGAAATGAAATTTTACTTATTGCCGTCTTAATATCGTTCGTTAGAACTAGGCCCTAAGAAATTCAATAATATTAATATATATATATATATTAAATATACATATCATAACTTAATTTTCTTAACAGATTCAGATTCCTCTTGAACTTCTTCTTCATCATTTTTTTACTTTTTTTTCTAAGTTTCTTATATTATTTTTGGTTTTTCAGCCTATGTATTTTTCACAAGAGATCTTCCCATAGAATTGTTCTCCTTTTCCTTATCTAATACTTTAACAAGTGAAATCACTCTATTTTTGAGATCATTTTCACTTTTGCACTTGAAGGCATGATCAAATCTAAACGTAATATCCTTTCTAATAGATTATTTCAGTTAGCTCCAATTACCATATCCAACCTCATTGGTCATGTAAATCAAAAACTTATCGTTTTCTAAACTGAAATATTTGCTTTTAAATTTATTATAGAGTTGAGGAGTGAATACTAATTCATATTTTGGTTGATGAAAATGTTTGCATTTTTCTTCAATTAATTTTTAACCATTTGTTTTTTGTTCAATTAATTTTTGTCCTCTTTCTATTTGTTTAACAATTTTATCCTTCTCACTTAATCCGTCAATTCTTTCCCAAAAGGCTTATGCATAAATTTTGACTTCATCCAAAGTTTTGGTTTTGATGAAATCTTAGATTTTATCATAGGCATCTTTCCCATATTTTTCATTAGCAACAATGAAGTCTTAAAACTCTTACTTATTCCAACTCTTGAAACCAGTCTCTAACAATCTTTTTTGTTCTTAACGCTCCTCCTAAGTTAGACCACCAAAGTCAACATTTTCATCATTTTCATTAGCCTTCTTCTGTGATTTCTGTTATGCCAAAAAGTCTTCCTCTTTCTATAGTAAGAACTATAGCCTATCCTTATTTTCATAGAGATGATGTTCAGAGAGCTTAATTTATTTCCCTTAGATTTTTTTAGAATTGGCTCCCATCATCATTGCTTTCTTATCACGATTCCTAGTCTTATTATCTTACATTAGATGGTTGACTAGAGCATCTTCCAGAGCCTCTTCATCCTCCTTATTTCTTTTGGCTTCATCGAAATAATCAAAGATATTGATCTATCCCAATCCTAAGTCGAGAGAAGAAACCTTATCTTTAAAGGTTTCAAACTTCTTCTCGATTCTCTCATTCATTTCTTTAGTCAATTACTCACCTCTTTTGAGTAAGATGTCTATATCTTCATCTTTAATGTCATCTCCATCCAATTTAAAAATCTGGGAAGCCCCATAAGTTGTCAACTCTTTTAAGTCTTCTTTTGACAACAATTTCCCAGTTTGTTTCTATTGAAGTCTTCCTTACTAGATCATAAGTGAATCCCAACGTAATTTAATCTATTATCTTTCAATAATCTTTTCTTCGACAGTATGTTCACAAGCCATCCTATAAACCATGACTCTGTTCTTCTATCCAATTCTATGAGCTCTGTCCATAGCCTACATATCCATTTATGGGTTGAAATCGGAATCATAAATAATGACAGTATCTGCAGTTGCCAAATTGATACCTAGACCTCCAGCTCTGGTGGATAATAAGAATATGAATTTCTTGCTGTTTGGAGATGTAAATTCAGCAATTTGATCATCTCTTTATTAGATTTCTGTTTCTCCATCTATTCTACAATATAAGAATCCTCTAAAATTGCAGTAATCTTCAAGAATATTCAACATTGAAGTAAATTATGAGAAGATGAGTATTTAATGTTAGCCTTCGCTTAATTTCTTTAGAAACTTATCTAAAACTCTCATTTTACCACTCACATCCACCAAGTGTTCTCCCAAGGCTGGCAATGACTTGTCTTCCACATCAGGAAATAGATAAGGATGTAAGCAAATCTTACGCAATTACATGAGTTTATTCATATAAAAGCCTTTGTCTTCTCCTTCATGAGGATTGTTGTGAATCAGGATATTTTAATACATCTATTTCTAAATGTTAGACATTTTGATGAACAAATGGATTTCTTATTTTGGTGGAAGCATCCTCTCTACTTCAGCCTTGGTTCTTCTAAGCATAAATGGTCTTAAGATCTTCTAGAATTTCTAGACCATTTCCAAATTTCTTTATTCTAACTCATCTTAATGAATAGTTTCATTTCCTTCTTTCAATTTTGCTTCAGTATTTACTTCAAACCATTTGTCAAATACTTCTGAGGAATCAAAAAGATCAGGCAGTAAGTAGTTCAATAGACTCCATAATTCATGTGGAGTATTCTATAAAGGAGTTCCAGTCAGTAACAATTTATAGTTAGTTCTAATCTTACGTAAATTTTGACTGATTATTGCATCTTCATTCTTGATTTTGTGTGCCTCATCTATTATAATATATTTATATTAAAATCTTCGTATGTGTTTCAAACAAATATTGACACCTTCATAACTAGTCAAACAAACATCAAATTTTCCTGGTTAAAAATATCTATTCAATATTTCATCTCTCTCCTCTTTTATTGCTATCAACTTAACTACTCTCATGCATGGCAACCATATTTTAAACTCTCTCATCCAATTACCTAAAGTTGACTTTGGAGCCACAATCAAAAATGGTCCATTAATTTTTTGATACTCTTTCATGAAAGCTAGAAAACTTATAGTCTGTATTGTTTTGCCCAAACCCATTTCATCAGCCAAAATTCCATTGATACCCTCTTCAAATAAAGATATCATCCAATTCAATCCAGTCAATTGATATTATTTCAATTGGCCTCCTTTCAAAATAGTTGGCTGTTACTCTAATACTGTGGGGGTATCATCAAACTCTTCCTCTTCACTGCCATCTTCAACTATCTATCTATGTTTTCCTCTCTATTAATTCTGAGCCCTCTATTTATTCTCTTAAGTTCTCTTGTGACGATGCAAGAGAAACATTGCATACTTCTCAGCATTCTCTAGTAATGTATTAATCTTAGACTCAATATTATCGAATTTTAGCTATCTTATTATATTTTGTCATTACATTTGTGTTCAATCGACCACTCTAATTTATAGAACTCATGAAGCTCTTTTTATCTTATTCTAACTTTTTTATACGTTCATCTTCTTCCTCAGCTCTTTGTTCTTCATCACTTGGCAATTCGACTTGTAATACTTCATTCTCATCCTCACTTTAAATACTCATTAAATTTAATTATGTTTTTCACCTTACCAATTTCCCTAATAATCATCAAATTATTTGAATCAACTTTTTATCATCATATAATAATATATATTAAATTTCCATACATAATACTAGTACTAACTTATAATAAATCAAATTTATTCATGTTTTCTAATCTCCCTCGCTAAAAACACCAAAGGGTTGAATACTCTGAAAGATCCATGACGTTTTCTGTCGATTGGATTCTGCAAATAGAAATCGAATTCACTCATGTCATCTTCTGTCTATTCACTTTGATAATTTTTGCCATCCTCCACCAACTACTTGAATTTGTTCCTAAACTCGTTTTGCTAATTGTAATTTTAACATATTTGCTTATTCTAATGCAAATATTCCAATAACTTATCCATTGCCTCATCAACAACACAATAAACATTATCCAAGCTCATTCAGCTCCTTATTATTTAATTTAATAAAATCTCATCAACTATTTCAGAAACCAACTCTCTTTCCTTATTCAATAATAACTATTACTCTCCTACTCAACTAACGGCTTACAATAAAACAGTATCTAACTACCTATTTGCATGAAAATTATTAATTGCTATTTAGGGTAAACAAAGAATTAACAATCAAACCAAAACTTTATGTGCAACTGCTTTTAATTCTATCAGAAAATGCAAGGATAACCTCTACTACTATTTAAATTACCAAAACTCAGATACTGGGTTAGATGTTTTACTAAATGGATTTAATATATTTTATTTAAATTCTTATATGGAATAGGATGGATATTAATACATTAATTATGTGTATTAATAGTTTATGACATCAAAACTATTTTATTAATTAATTATAAATATAGATTAACTTTATGAACAGGGTCATTAACTCTTTATTGATTTATCGTTCATTGAATTACTATATTCCTAAACTTATACTAGAAAATGTCGTTCCAAAGAATCATATATAGAATTATAAAAGTTGCATCAAATATCGCAACCCTTTTTGGGTCATTTTATATATATAATTAAAAAAAATATTATTTGATAAACAACTTAATTAAAATATTATTAGAAAAAAATTAAATGGAAGTTGGCGTTAAGAAGAATGAAAACTCAAATTACGTTTAAAATTATTCTATATATATCAAATTGTTTCTTCTTTAACATCATTATGGAGTTTTTGAAAGTAGTTGTAAGAGTTAATTATTTCATGATTGACTTTTATTTCCACAAAAAGACTGAGATGACGTTCATTTTTTTCCTCTATTGAACAAAATGAGGCTTATTTTTTCTTAACAATCAAGCTTTTCACCTAATCTGGTATCGGCCTCTTTTCAGTTTTATAGTAATGGATTAATGACTTAGCACTTGAGTAATTCATTCTCAATTCCTTTGCAGCCTTACATTCAAAAAATATAAATACCTGTTTTATCTTTTTCCCATTTTTAAATACCTATTCAAAAAGCATTTACTAAGTTCTTAAAGGTATTTTATGGTATCGTTTTACACTAATTGTTTAAGTGTAAATAGGTCTGTTTTTTCTCGTTGAAACCTTCCTATTCGAAACCTCAGAAGAGAATTCTTGAAACTCATCGACAATCAGGCCTGTTCTGCTCATTTTAATTTTTCTAAATCAAAAGAATCCTAAAATATATTGTATATTAGAAATCTTTATTACGTATTTGAATCATAAATTGAGATAATATAATCAAATTAAATTTATAAGACCAAGAAAACTTTATGATGGGTATTTTATTTCAACCTTTGAAAGAAATCCACATGGTCAATACCCAGCATCTTTAAATTTAAATATATATAAATTCTTCGCTAACTCAACATTTTATTTCTTTTTTGCAACTGATTTAAAACTATCTAATCAATTAGTATATTACATTTATAAACAATTCGATTTTTTATAGCAATTTATTCTTTTGAGCGTTAAAAAATTAGACCCCTAAAAAAAGATAACTGATAGATTATAAAGAATATAGTCCCTAAACTCTTACTTAAACTTCCATTTTTATTATCTATTCCTACTTTTGCTCCAAATTTATCTAATATACTATTGTTAAAATAATAGAAATCATATTAAAATTTCTTCTTATAATTGTTGTAACTTTATTTCTTTATTAAAATCATCACAAATAGAATTATCTCTATAAAGTTTACTGTATTTTAAGGAAGTTGAAATTTTAGATAATTTTAATAAAATTATGTTTGATAACATTAATATTTGTAAATTTACAATTAATGCCCATAAAACAAGACTAGACGAATGAGTTCCCAATAAGATATAAATAGGTATGCATTTTTTTGACATGTGATTACACATGATTACATATTTATTAGTTCAAATAAAATAATCAATCTTTCTTACAGTTATTATGTAATCCTTAACAGAATCATTTATATATAATATATATATATTTAAAACTGTTTTATAATATAATTCATCCCATTAAGACTTTAAAGCCAGCAAAATCAATATCTTTTTCAATAATATTTTTAACATTAACTTGATGATCGTGTGTATTTTGATGATTACTTTTTGTTTCTGAAATGGATGCCCATTTCGAGTCCAAATTAGCATTTTGATCAAAAATTGATTTTATCGTTTTTTGTGTGACCTGTTTCTCTTGTTAGCTTAAGAAATCAAAAATGAATTGCAAATGATTATTATAATCTTGTGGAGTCAAAGTTATTGCAATGAATTCAAAGTAATCTAAATAGCCGTTATTGTTGCAATCTAAATAAGGCCATACTTTTTATATATCTTATTTGTTCACCTTCAAATATGATGCTAATTCTGCTTAAGTAATTAGCCCAGATTGAGATGTGTTTATTAAGAAAAAGGCCATTTTCTATTGTTTAAGATCTGATGAGTTGATTTGGGTTGCTAAATAGTATAATCCCAATCTTTTCAAAGGGTGGAACTTCACCCATTGAGTTATCGTCAACATTGAAATCAACTTTTAATCAACTTAAAATTTCTGATTGAATTTATCTACCAATTTATTTGACAACAAATCTTTTGGTGCATATCTTTAAGCAGCAGGACATATCTAAAGTTTAATGAAATCTTTAATTTCTTGTGGTATTTAAAGCCATTCATCACCTATATTATAATTATCAATAACAACCTTCGAATTATAATTAAGCATTCTTGATTTCAGTTAATATTTCCTTCTCATTTTCTCCATAAAAGGGAGGATATCCACATAAAATAACATACAAAATGACTCCAGAAGACCAGATGTCACATTTTGAATCGTAAGATCCTTCCAATACTTCAGGAGCAACATAATAGGCCTATATATTTAATTAGATATATACTGTGCCACTTTTGGTTTTTAATTTATCGACGCCTCTTTTGGCAATTCCAAAATCAATGACAATTAAAGTGTTCAAATCATCCTTTTTTTAAAATAAAAAGTTTTCGGGTTTCAAATCCCTACTATCTCAATTACATGTACCTGTGAACTATTTTGAAGCCTTGATAGTAATTGACTGCTCTCATGTATTGAATATAAACTTTAAATGCTTCGTCAATTGATAGATTTCCTTTTTCCAATACCTTATCAAACACATCACCACCTTAACAGATTCTAGCTCAAATTCATATATTACTCTAGAATCATATACAAATTCTCTTCATCTTCAAATGTTTCAAATACTCTCAATATATTTGGATGATCCTTAAATTGCTAATGTTATTTTCATACTAATAGCTCCATTATTGTTATCTCGCTTAATAATCTTTCTTTGTATTTAATGTTGAGTTTGTTGATCACTTTTACAGCTCTCACTTATTAGGAAACATTATGAATTGCTTTGAAAACACTTCCATATGCTCCTTGTCCAATTTTCTAAATTTATACATTGCTAAAATATTTACATTTGCAACATCGTAAGTATAAACCGAGGAAATGGGCACTGCATTGCGTCTAATAAGAGTTTATTTGTATATATGAAAAGCAGATGATTTTTAATCCATTATTTAAATTTAGCAAAAAAATTTAGATTCGTTTAATACTATATTTATGTTAGATAATGAATGATCTCACTTCTTTATAAATAACATTTTCTACTTCTGAAATGACATTTGGAACCCTCAAAATGAGAACAAATCCATGAAAGCCAACAATAATTCCTATTCTATGATATCAGTAATCAATATTTATTTTATATTGTGCTAAATATACAAATATATATAAAAATAGTTATAATTTTCTCCATTTCCAAACAGATAACAGAGCACCGACTCCAGAAACAATCTAATTATTAAGGATTTAAGAATACTTTAGAACATGATAAAAATAAACTAAATTTCCTAAAGGAAAGATCTATACGGATATATGCAATTATGATAATAATATTAATATTTTCTATATCAAATGAGCTATAAAAGATTAATCTGATGTAATCCTTTTGTGTGTTAATTGTCTTGAGGAGATACATGTGAATTTCAAAATGAGGAATTTGGATTCTTTTAAGACTTATTTGATTATATTTCAGGGATTTCACCTTATAGAAAAGCTGAGGCAGTGATATATATAAGAGATGCAGATATCTTACAAATTTAATTCTAAAATCTGTGTTGTTTTAACAACAAAAAAGACAAATTCTTGAACTGTTATGCTTTGATAATAATTATTAGAAGAATGCTCATAATAAAAATAAATATAAAGCAATTAAATAACACAAAGGTGAATTTGAAATACCATAAAGTAAATATAAACAATTTTTTTTATGAATAAATAAATATTTATTATAATTTATTTCATAAGTTTGGTAGCGATTTCAAATTTAATCCTACTTAGAAGATTCTTCTTTTATTTTTAGTTCCTTATTTTCATCATGCAGTAACCTTTTGTACACTGTTAACTAAGGGATTTCATAATTCTTAGATCAATGAATTAGCATCATTAAATTGGTAATCGAAGGAACATCTTGATTAGACGATCATAACTATAAATAACGAATTATCCATAAAGATTTTCAACGAAAATGATTTACAATCAGAATCTATATTATCTAATGTTGTGTATCGATGTATGTATATGAAATGATAATATATTATTAAATTGCTTATAATACTGCATTAAAAAACAATAGTTTAAAACTATGTATATTGTGAGGATGTGTTGAAACAATAAATATTAATACGAATGTTTTTTCTATTCAGAAATTAAATGCTCTTTAGGTTATGATGTTTTTCTTTATTTCTTATTTTAAATAAATCACTTTTTCCTTTTCAAGAATAAATTCCTATACTTTTAAGACCATGAGGCTGAAAATGTTGGTTCTAATTTATTTTAACTGTTTTCAAATTTAGATAAGCGATCTTCAAACTCTTTGAATTCATTCCTCACATTAATAGTATTCTGTGTCGGAACTTTATCCTTTTGTTTTTGAATAGTTTATGTATTTTTTTATAGTGATTTCAATTGATTACATTCCCTAATCTGTTGAGGTTTGTTTGATAAACATTAATCTCCCAAAATCTTTACTAATGTGACTTTTTACTTCATGCGTTCCTTTATATATTATTGATGCACCTTCCTTGAATCCTGCAAATTAGGTCTCTTTTTCTTAGCAATATCAAATTGGATCTGGAAAAAATCTTAAGAATTAATAAATGTTGTACCATAAGAACATGGTGTTTTAATTTTAAATAAACGGTAATACATCTCATACAATCTTTCTGTTTTCAGACTAGTTGCTTATAGACGATAATGAATTTCCCATAGATGTTCTACTTACTTAAAATTCTCTTGAGAGAAATCCTAAAGCAATTCCTATTAAATAATGCATTGTCAGAATACTGAAGCATAATCTCTCAAGCATATTTTAAATATTTCAATAATATCAGATTCTTGATCTGATGCAATTTTATTTTCAAACATTTTCATCATCCTTGGTTGAATACTACATAAATGCTTCTAATTAAAGGGTGCCAAGTAAAGCTCCATAATTAATTAATTTAAGGTCTAAATATTGCAATCGATTGAACCATCATTTGCTATAAGTGACATAATTATAAAAATAATTTATTAATATGCAATAATTATGAATTATTTATATATTCATACAAATCATACTCCTTATTCTAAAAGGATATTCTCTTCTTTAGAATTATAAATGCTTGCCAAATCAATAATATGAAAATATCAAAATTACTTAGAAAAAATAAGAATATAATCTAATTAAATTAATATTTATAATCTAAATTGGAGAAAACAGATTCTGAAAAAGAAATTTTATTAGGTTGAATTCAGATGGTAAATTAGTGCTAAAAATGAATTACATGAGAGCAAAGCATTTGTATGATTTTTCATAAGGATACCTAAGAAATCTAATATTTCTAAGATTTGGGATCTGCTTTGGAATGAACATACCTAAATAAATTATACAAAGTTGTAAACGAAATCGATTCCAAATATTGGTTTAAGATTGTTCTAGTATCAATAATGTAAATTGAAGAGATCATTGCTATAGCAATTTGAAGTGATAAGGGAATATAGAATCTTGATTTTGAATTAATCCAAGATTAGATAAGTGAAAAAGCGACTAATCTCAAATAATCTTAATGGCATTTTAATAGTTAATCTGTTTAATTCATGTACATAGAAGAATAGATATTTTTAAAGATTTGCAAAGTAGAAATGAAACATGGCCTCGATTGAGTCCTTCAATCAAAGACTTGAGCCTGAAGCCTGGAAAATTGATTAATAGATGTATAATTAGATTAGGTTTTAAAAGGTTTTTTGAATTTTATAATAAATGAATATTCAATCATGATTTATGCTATAAAAAGAATAGGACTATAAGGGTAATTGATAATAATTTCTTTTATCAAAATAATTCTTTAAAAATAATGATTTAAAATGAGATAGCGGAATGCATGAAAAAGATGACGACTTACCTTGATTAGAATGGTTACAAGAAATTCAAACTATTCTAAGCTTAACCAAATTATTTTGATTTGAACTATGAGGAGAGGAAAGAATTATTATAAGCACCCTCTGTAGATCATTTATGCAAATCTATTATCATGGAAAATACAAAATACGATGACTCCTATCCTGATAATGAAGTCAACCCAAAATATATCTGTGTAGTAGTTCAATACATCACAAAACTATAAGGAGAAAAGGTATTGTATTTAAGAACAATATTAGATTAATAAATATTTTAAATAGTTATAGAATCAGAAGTATCCTGATAAATAAATTTCTAGAAATAAATTACATTTCAGATTAACCTCAGATGAAGTAACAATTGTTGACTATATAAGATGTCATATCAATTAAGTGGATATTAATTTAATGCAATTACCCCTTTTAATATGGTGCAAAACATGCCTCTCTTGATTTCTGATAGAATATTGAATTTGGAGTATATATGGTTTGGAGGTGGACATACAGATGTTAAATTGAGGATGGATATAAAAGAGATGTGTACTCTTTATCCCAATAAAGTCTATTATTCTGATATTATAATGCCATAACAAGAATGAAGATAATCTATTAATATATATATATATTAATATTTGATAATTAATCAACCAATAACTAATCTATTAGCTCCTGCTTTCATTTATTACTTTTATCCTTGTTCGTTTGATATTTGTTAGAACTTAACATTCAATATCTTTTTTAAATCGCTAAAATAATTCATCTATGATATTGTCATTAAAAATTACTTGTCTTAACGAAGGCTCGTAATTTTCTTTCACAAGTTCTCTTTGCTATTTTAGATTTTTAATGTTCTCTTCTAATTTCAAAATTCTCTATTGCAACATTTCTGCATTAGATTTAAATTACGATGATAATTATTTGCCACCTTTGCTGTACTCAATCTAAAATGAATATAAATGTTTCTACTTCATCATTCAATCTTTAAATTTTAATTTCTAAAATTTCAGAGTTAAATTTATTAAGTTTAATTTTTCTATCAAAGGCGTAAACTTCATCTCTAAGCTTTTTAACATCAGTAACTAAGGAGCTTTAATCACTTTCGACTCCCAACATAATTCTATCAAACTCTTATTTCTTTTTTTTATGTTCTTATTCTAAATCCTACAAATATGACCATATTATTTACAGAGTATTATTGTCTGACAGTTTTAATTTCTGCTAATTGCTCTTAAATCAAAGGTCTTTTCAATTAAATTTAGGCTTAGATTTCATTTACAATTTTAGAAATCTCCTCTAAAGTTTAACCCTTCTATAAATTAATTTATTGATTTTCTTCTGATAACTTTTCTAACCCTTCCTTCTTCTTGCTATAACCAACTATTCCATGAGTTTTCTCTAATTCTTATTACTACTTAAGTAATTCGGTTTTCTATTTCCTTAAGATCTATTCTGTTCTTTCCAAAGTAGATCTTTCTGCTTATAAAGCCTTTAATTCATCCTTTAATTTTTGATATTGAAATTTCTTATCCTTCAATTAATTAGCATATTCCTTGAATTCTCCTTTGGTTTTATAATTAGGTCCTCTCTCTTTAGCAATTTAATCTTCCTTTTTGAACACTTCCTTCTCTATTAATTACTATTCTTCTTCAACCTTTTTGATATCTTCAACTGCTCTTTCCTTCTTCTTTGCAACCAATTAGGCCTATTATTTATAGATAGTTAATTTGTCATCTTCAGGTTTAGCTTCTCTCTTCAATTTATCCTCCATTTGATTGACTGCTCTTCTTAAAGCCATCAAAGTATTTTCCAAATTATTCAATTCATTCAAAGTAATAGGTGGTTCAGCAAGCAGTCTTTCAATTTGTTCTAATTTCTTTCTTCGCTCCTTTAAATCAAATCCCAATCTATCCTTGCTGATTTCTCTATTTCTCTTCACTTCATTTCTCAAGGCCATCAACATTTGCTCTGGTGAATTGTCTGGAGATAATGACTTCTAAGCATCAATCAATCTTTATTAGGCCTACAAAAGCTATTAATCTGTTTGATCTAATGTCATTCTTTATTACCTGAGTTTATCTTATAATCTGGCCTCCTCTTCTTATTCCTTTCTCAACATATTAGTAACATCCAACAATTCGTTGAAATTTGGTTTAGTTAATACTTTACTCTTAAAATTGCTAATTTTATTTAATAATTATTCTCTCTCTTATTCGAATTAGGTGATATCCTTCTTCAATTCTTCAGGTTACATCGATTATGATTACACTTGCTCAAGTGATTGATGATGCACTTAGAATTGGGCTTATAAGTCTTTGATTTGATCGACACAGGTCTTGATATCATTGTCCATTTAAAATTCATCTGGCACAAATACTGGTACCAAATACTTGGCGAGATATGCTCTTTTTTCTAATTCTGGATATCTAGTTAATAAATAATGAAAAATGGGATAGATCACTTTCTTATCCGCAATCAAGACGGATTGGGACCATTTATCATCAAATTAGCCTGGGTAATTTAGAATTCTTAAATACTCAGTAATTTTATAGATAATAGTATCTTGATTATCTACTTTAACATCTATAGTCCATCTTGAGTCCAAATGTGTAAATATTTTATTTAACAGTTCCAAGAATTCAAATCTAAAATATGTTTTCAATAATAATTACTAATTTTGTTCATCGAAGGACACCAAACTATAATTCTCATTAAATCTATTATTTAGGATTCCTACAATCTCTTTAATGTCGTCAGTATTGATAACAGTTTTGACTTATTGTTCTCCTGAATAAGATGCCATTTTTAATTATATTAATATAATATATATTTAAATTCTCATATATTGCATTATTTCTACTCAATTATATGGTTTGTCTAATAGTATAGATTCTAAACAATAGCTTGTCTTTTGATAACTTCTAATTCTGTTGTGTATTTTTCAAAGACCTTATTTTTAAGATCAGGATTGATCTGTAATTCTCTAAAATCTTATTTTGCTCTCCTTATGACATATTCTCTGAAATTATAATCCTTGAATTGATTTCCAGCTCTCAGAATCTATTTATATAATTTCAAAACTGATTTATCCATTTATGTTAGTTCACAAATAATAATAATAATGAAATTCGTTTTAATAGTGTTTTTAGCATTTGCATATGCTAAGGTTGGATGTGATACTGATAACAAGGAGAGAGTAAAAGAACGGGGGATGTCTAAAAAGAAGGAAGATGAATTATTAGAATTGCATAATGAACATAGAAATGATGTTGCAACAGGAAAGTTAAAAAATTGGTAAGGTAAATTTTTGACTGCTTCTAATATGAATTATGTTAAATGGGATAATCAATTGGCTAGATTTGCATAAGATTGTGCAGATAAATGTCCAGCCAATTTTAAAATTGATTGTTCATTCCCACCCCATTATGGTTTTGTGACATATTTAGGAGATGTTGAAAATGGAGGTGCTGATTGGACTGCTAAAAGAGTGTTCAAGAAATGGGCTTAACATGAAGATCATGCAAGATAAATTGAATTGGCTTAAGCTTAATTTTTTGGATGTGGTAGATCATAGGTTAGTAGAAAGAATGGCTCGAGTGATGAAATTGTCGTATGTGTTTACAATAGAGTAATATATATAATTATATCCTAGAAACCAAATTTACATGGAGATGTTTATAAGGCTGGAGTTGCAGGACAGGAATGTTTACATGGTCGTAAAAAAGGATATCTAGGGTTATGCAAACATAGTGCAACTGATATGAGTGTGATAAATTTCAAACATCAAAAGAAGCATGATGAACATAAGTATCATAAATAAGAAGAGAAACATCACAAAAATTAAAAGCATCACAAACATAATGAGGCTCATTAAAAAGTTTATTGATAAAAATAAATATAATTTTAACTAATTTTATAAATGCATTTATTTATTAATTAGTACTTATAAGTTTCTTATTAAATATTTTATTTATTCAATTACATTCTTTTAATTTTAATAATATCAATATCAATTATTCTCCATGTACATTTTAGAAGATTTCAAAAAAATGTATGTCTTTAAATACAAAATTAGGACTCTAAGGATTGGAATGGGATTTCTCATTGTTAATCTTCTATTCTTGATCTTAAGCATTTTGTTGATGTTATATTTCTCATTAATTATGATTGTCAGTTTAATATTTGATATTGGGTTGTGCTTGCTCATTGGAATTAAAATTGAAGGGAAGAATTTTCTTTCTACTAGGATTTATTGATATCGTCATATAAAAATTAAAAATTATTGGATTTCCATTATAAATTTATGGTGACTTGCAATTTTTCAATCATTATACCTTTCCTGTACAAACAAATCCATATTATTGACAAATAACTTAAGTAAATAAGTTTAAAACTGTATAGGAAATCCTCAATTAAAAAAAAATGATGGATTAAGTCTCTCCAAAGGGTCCATCTATGTGAAATATATATATTATAATTTATCTTAAGATTTTATAGGCTTCAAAAGTCATAATTTATTATATAATTGAAATAAATACAATAATGAATATTAAAGAATGTGATACGAAAACTAACTAAAAAGCTATTAAAAGTGCTTTAAAAAAGGAACTATCTAATGAAGAATAAAGTAATTTATTTACTAAACAATAAAGTGTTTCGTAGATACGATAGAAAAGGTAGAGAAATTACTTTTGGCTCTAAATATGAAGTTACAATTGATGAACATGTTCAATTCTTATTAGCGATCCCTCCAGTCTCTACGCCAAGAAACAGGACTAAGTCACCCGTTGGTGTACCAATGAGTGCAAGATCCCCTAGGAGTAAGTCTCAAATAACAGAATAAGGTGGAAATTCCACTCCTATCGCGATTTCTTAAAAAAAATTAGAATTCACATAAAAAGAAGAAGAATCTTTAAGAATATTGGAGAAGAAATATTAAAAATAAAAAATGCTTGGTAAATAATAAAAGTAGTGTTGTGTTATATGGTGAAACAATGCTAATTGAGTATATATATATTTATACGAAACTAAAAATATGTTGATAAACAAACATTTCAATTTATTTCCATATTTATTGTAAGATAAAAAGCTCAGATTTCTAAGAAATTCATACTATATTCATATTGATATTAATCAAATTTGCCTATTTAATTTTGACAATTGGAGGAACAAACAAAAAATAGGAATTCAACAATAATATTGTAAAGTAAAAAAAAGGAGTTAAACCATTTTGATTGTCGAAAATAAATATGGAATTATATCAAAGAGAATTGTAAATCAACATGATTGCAGTTATTAATGAAACACCTTTGAATACGTTATACAGTAAATAAATAATGCTAATTAAAAGTAGAAACATAATAATGAATTCATAAGCTAAATAGTAAAGAAAACAAATAATGAATTATCATTCAATAAGAAATACTTGATACTTTAAAGATCACAAAAATTACTCAATTAATATCAGTGAAAGATGAATATTGTATCCACATCCAATTTATATTATATGAATTTTGAGATACTTTCAATTACTATTATATATCATTAAGGTATCCAATCCTTTTTAAATATTTTATCTAAGATTCCTTCGAAAATTCGAAGCTGAAAGTCTATGTTTTAGAATATTGCAATAAACTTTATAATTAATTATAAATAAATATGCCTCCAAAAGCTCCCCCTCCAAAAAAATTGACCAAAAAGGAATTAAAAGAAAAGGCTGAATAAGAAAAGAAGGAAAGAGAGGAATAAGAGAGAATTCGAAAAGAAGCTGAAGAAAAATAAAGATAAGAGGAAGAACGGTTACGCAAATTAGAAGAAGAGAGATTGGCTGCAGAAGAAAAAGCAAGACTTCAAGAGGAGGAGATAGAGAATGAAGTATAAAGGAGTGTTTTCAAAGAAAATCTGGATAATGCAAAGAAAGTAATTATTATAATATATTCCAACATTTTAGGTAGCTAGAGCGAATGATGACTGGGATAAGTTTTTGTTATGTTCAATTAAACCTGATATAACATAAGAAGCTTAATTAACAACCTTTATAACTTTGCAAAAGGAACAAAAGATAATAACTGAGCTAAAGGTGGCTGAAGAAATCCAAAAATTATAATAAGCAGAAAATATTGAAAGAGATATTCACAGATTTTTGACTCATTTAAAGGCTGAAAGAAAACTCCAATAAAACCAACAATAATTACAGCAGTAACAATAGCAATAAGTCTTTTAAAATGACACTGTAGCCAGAAATAAAATGTACATAGCTTAGATTAGAGATATAATGGTCAAAAAACTAGAAGAGATAAATACTTAAATGGTACTTAATGCTGAACTATTTATTGATGTAAAATAATATATAAATAATAGGAAAAATTTGCTGAATTAACTAAAAAGGCAAACGAAGGAGCAAAGGGCACATTCAAGTTAGATGATAAAACTAAACAAGAGGTTATCAAGACTTTTCCTCCAACTGAAGACTTTAAATATGGTATATTCATCTATCCATCAAACAAACCATCCGGTTATAGACATAAACCAAATGAATATCCAGAATTACAATTAGCAGTTGATGTCCCAAGATCAATCTCGGTGTTCCTTCAAAAAATATTATGGACGTCATTTGATAATTACTCACCTGATCTTTATAGCAAGTTTAGGATTGTTGGAGGAGTTTTGGATATCGAGTATTTACAAATGCTCCCTCCGCCAAAGAAAGTCAACACTTGGACTTTGAAATAGAACTATGAATTGAAAGAGACTGTTAAAAGATTAGCATTTGAATTAAATGCAGTATTTAAGGTAAACAACTATATCATTTTGAGGTATCATATTAACTTCCATCATATATTTGGATTCCAAACAAGGAAACCTAAAAAGTATGGAGAGTTGCATTTTTTGATCGTGTTAGTGAGTAATGGATTACAGATGGAGTTGAAGATGCTAAATTGGATAAAGGGATTAATATTGTTGCAAGTATTCCAAAATTAGGTCCAATTGGATTGTTATAAGAAAGATGTTTGGATTACCCATATAAGAATTTTAAATTGAGATGTGTTGGAAATGAAAAAGCAATTTTAGACATATAAGGAGTTAGGGATTTATTTAAATTTGAGATTGGGCCAGGATATATTCAATTATTGAAGAAAGACCCAGTATTTATAAAGTTATATCCTAGGAATTCTAACACTTTGCCTACAAAAAGCTATTGGTTGGAGCATTATTTTATGAATTATACAGAAGTGGTGTTAATTTTATTCCTGTTATTGAGGATGCTTAATCAGCCAATATTATTTAAAAGGATGAGGGTGCAGAAGAGTTGGCCTTAAATGATTTATCAGAAGCAGTTAGAGGATTTTACATTGAATCAAGCAGATGGAATAATAGTGATACTGGTCCATAAATTGTAGTCAAGCTTAAGGAAAATCCTGAATTTGATGAGGTACTAGTGAAGTTTAATTTATTCTAGGAATTTGCAGAAAATTAAGAAAAAGATTGGAAGACAATAAAGTGGTGGAATAATAAATGTGCCATAATTCAAGCCAAAGATTCGCATTAAAAATGCAATCAAGCTTTCTTGCCGGACACTGAAACTCATTGCAACTTAGAAGTGTTATTGAAAATGCATTCATTAACTACTTAAGAGACTTTAGCAAAAATGAAAGTAATAATATTAAAAGACATCTTAGGACTTGCATTATGTCATTTTTATCGAAACAATTTAATAGGTACTGAGAATAACGAAATTATTATCATTCACAGTAAGAGATTGAATTCTTATGTCTATATTATAATTAATATTTTGGACTGTCCGTTTATTATATTGTTAATTCCTAATTCTAGGTGATTTAAGCAATTTAAACTGAAAATTCATTAAAATTCATTTTTTAATTTTTGCAAGTAATCTTTACAGTTTTTAACTCAGTTCTATTTCATCCTTAATTTATTTTATAGGAGCATTTGGAAATCTAACAAATTTAAAATCTTGACGAAAGTCCTACATTAGTTATTTTTCTAGCTTTTATTTATGCTTTACAAATTTGACTTATATTTTAACCTCATACACTTTGTTGTTTTCTTGAATCCCAATTTCTTCACTCTCTTATTGAATACTTCTTTTTGATGTTTAATAATTAATGTTTCTATGAAGGAATGTTAGATTATTGATTTTTTAATTTGAAACCATTCTAACAGAATGTTTTTATTTTTAATAAAAATCAACACTCTAAAATAGTTTTGGTAATATGTAAGTCTAGTCTTATAATGTAGAGAACCTACGTGATCGAGGAGTGTATTTTTTTTTATTCATAATATTCGTTATAAAACTATCAAAATATTAAATAAATATTCTTATTCTTATTAATTAGTCTAGAATATTTTATCTATCATTTTTTTACTTATTGAAGAGAGAGAAGATAACTTATTTAAGTTAATCCTTCACTTTTATGAGTTTAAGAGAATCTGATCTTTACTGTTTTCACCTTGTATATGTTAAAAATGATTAATAAATTCATAAATAATGTTGTCTATTATTGTTTTATTTAAGGTGATATGTACGGAGTTATTGATATTATTTAATTAATTATATACTCTAAATACCTATTAATCTTAATTAATTTTTAAAAACTAAATTTATTTTACAAATAGCTTTTATCTTGTTTGATCAACAATGACTGTTAATTAGGAAAAGCATCTCTTCATAAATTTAGAAAAAAAAATGCAGATCTACTCACTTTACTTTTAAGATAAAATCTGATCCGAAAATGATAAGTGGATTTATTTAATATTTCTTATTCATTTACTTTACAAAGTAAAATATTTTGTTATTTCATATTTATATTATTCAAATATAAAGCTATTTATAGTTACAAAATGCATAAAAACCTAGGTCGTTTGCGTTCATTTGGGTCTTCTCTCAAATTTGAATGAAGACTTCAATAACTCTGGCATGAAGGTGCTAATGAAGATTATATTGGGAACTTATAGTAAAAAACAAGTTTATTCGAAACTTTATTTTAAGAATTTGACACCAAAATAATGCAAGGTTACTTTGGGCTTTCATAACAAATGAAACAATAAATTGTATGACATAAATATAATCTATATAATAAAATTAAGTAATAAAAGGATTGATTTTAATAAAATTATATTTTGAATAGCAAAATTTGATTTTCTTAAACTTAATGTTTATTAATTTCTGTCTAAAATGGAACAAAGTAATGAGATTGGAATTAAATAGGTCTAAGAGTTTATTAAAAGAAATGTAGTGAGAGAGAATAAGAAATCATGGATCAAGTCAAAAAAGAATTATCTAAATATCAAGAATAGTGTGAAAAATATACAACAAAAGCATAAAGATATATAATAGAAATATTAATTAGATCAAGACACTTTTAAAAATTAATTAATAAAAAAATTCACCACCCTGAAGATTCTTTTAGATGATGAAAGAAATAGCACAGAATAGATGCTTATTTAAAAATAAAGTTTATTTGATAAGTGTATACAATGGAAGGGAGAGGAAATAGGTGACTTAAATACACAATTGGAACAATTAAGAAAACATATTAATGAATTGAAAGAAATCTACTAACAAAATAAAGAAAAATTTCATTAGTTCAAAGTCCTCTCATAGAAGATTATTAAAAAATATATAGATTTAAATGAAAAAGCATAACAAAAAATTTTACAGGTTGAAGTTTCGAAAGTGAATTTTTCTTCTGAAGAAATTAAACGTACAAACTTACAATGTCGGTCTATTATCGACAGAATAATAAGACAATCAACTACTTCAGGATTAATAGAAAGTTTTAGAATCTATAGTATATGAAATTGCATATTATTTAAATAAAGTTTGAATTATAAAGTTAAGGAAATGAAAGAAGAAATACAGGTAATTAGGAAAAATTTGAAAAAATGAATCTTCACATAAAATTTAAATTTAAAATATCCTAAGAAGAATTGAAAGATTGTTAGAAGGTATTAGAAAATTGGCAAAATAAATTTGATAGATTTAAAGAAGAAAAGGAAGCTGAAAAGTAAATGCTTGAAGAAAGACTTAGAAAATACCAATAAGAGTTGAGACAAAAGAAAAGTGAAATAGAAAAATTATAATAAGAGATTAACGATATTAAATAAAAAAAGAAACATCTTAAAGAAGAATTAGCTTAAAAACAAAAAGAATTGGAAGAAAAACAAATATTTGAATAAAATTGCAAACAAAAATAGAATAACAAAAACTTAAAGATGATTTAAGCAAATACAAAAATGAATTGAAACAAAAACAAAGTCATATGAAAACACTTAATAAGGATTTATGTGAATGACAAAAAAAATTGGAAGGAACACAATAAGAAAAGGAAAGCCTTGAATAAAATTTAAGTAAATACCAATAAAAATTGAAGAATCTCAAATTATGTTAAAAGGAAAAAGATGATTTTCAATCCTAAACCGAATAATTAAGATAAAAATATGATACTAAAATTAAAGAGTTAAATAATTAATATGAATTCCATGATAAAGTAATAAAGTAAATTAAATTCCTAACATGAGTAAGCATAAAATAGAAGAAAAGGAAAATTTGAATCTTAATTTTAGTAACTGGTAGGTCAAATAAATGATCTATAAAATCAAAAAATCACTCCAATGTTGAGTAATAAAATGAACTAAAAGATTAGTCAGAAATAATAAATTTGATATTAATTATCCATAAATTTAAATAATTTCTGCTATAATGTCAAAGCTAGTTTCTAAGTAAATACAATTTTAACAATATTGATTAATTAATTTTGATAGATTGTTAAACTCAATTTAATATAATATAAATAGGCATTATTCATTATCATAAAGGATTGAATTAAAAAATAAAGATAATGTTAAATAAATTTGAATCTCCTAAACATATTATTTATCTAATTCTGGCTAAAAATCAACCATATTTTGACTTTGACATTTTCTTAACTTGAGTATTAAAAAGTAGAAAAGTACAAAGTTAAGAAGGAGATTATTTATCAAACATCTATTTTTAATTAAATTGTAAAAGAAATTGTTAGAGACCAATACTTAATCGTAATAGATATTTAAAAGAAGACCAAAAAATAATAATAACTTAAAATTAAAATTAATGGAATCATTTAACATTTCTTACAATTGACTATTATTACCTCATCATAATTTAAACTATTTTTAACTGCATTTAAGAAACCAATAGATTTGTTACATATAGGGGACTCATAT